AACAAAATGGAAACGGACTCATAGCCACAGGGAATGGGCTGGTGGTTGCCCAAGGAGACGGAGGTTGGGGGATTGGCTGAGCGAGGTGAAGGGACTGAGAACAATAAGCTGGGGGTTACAGACCGTCGTGGGGGTGTCGAGGGAACAGCACAGGGAACACGGTCGGTGGTGCAGTCACTGTGGACGGTGCCAGGTGGGTGCCTGGAATGTTGGGGAGAAAACTTTATAGAGCATATGACTGCCTAACCACTGAGCGTGTACTCTCGGCACTAACACAAAATAATATTGAAAAATAAAATGGGGAGTTTTTTTAAAGCTTATTTTGACAATATCTGCCAGTATCCCTGCTGCTCTCATGGAGAAGCAGAGTTTTGGAGATCTTGACACCCTCCTTCCCACTCACATCGCCCACTTGCTTTATTATTTCTTCGGCTTTATTGAAGTATAATTCACCTTCAGATGAAATCATCCACTTCAAGTGCACAAGTGGATGAGCTTTATCGAATGCACAGTTAGGTAACTATGATCAGGATCATGGTACAGAACATTTCCCCTACTTCGGAAAGTCCTCTGCGGTTGCCTTGCAGTGCCCACTGCTCTGTCTCCTCCCCGCTGTCCTGCCTCTCCCAAAGTGCTGTGTAAACACAGGCGTGGCCTGCGTGCCTGCTCTCTGCGTCCGGCTGCCTTTGAGACTCATCCACGTTGCTGCCAGATCAGCAGTTGGAGTAACTTCATACTACCGAGTATTTCATGGCATGGTCATACCACCACTTTCATATCCGTTTGCCAGTTGATGGGCATTTGGGTGATTTCCCCTTGTGTCTGTTTCATGAGTAACACTGCTGTGAAATTCAAGCGTGAGTCTTAGGATGCACGATCTATTTTATCTTGCGCAAATAACTAAGAGTAGAATTTCTCAGTCGGGGCAAAGGGTGAGTTTAATGGTGGAGGACGTTACCAAGCCGTACCCTTTTGAAGTTTCAGTGGCGTAGCGTCCTTGCTGAAACTCGGAAGAACAAGTGTGTTACACGTGTACATTTGTAAGCACTAGGCAGTCCTTCACTAAACAAACCCCTGGCAGAGCTTCCCAGCGAGAACACGTGTGCAGTCTACTTCCACACCACAGCTGGCTCTTGGGCGGTGGTGCGGGCACGCGGGGACTAGCCAAAATGTGGACTACCAGCTACAGGAGCAAAGGCCAAGGGCGTGCCGAAGACGGCTTCAGATGAAACGGCCTTCTTCTCATGCAGTTGCTTGTTCTTTTTGACACCAATGAATGTGCAGTCTGTGGGCAAATTGGTGAAGGCTGAAAACGGGGGGCGTCAGCCGATATTTTTAAGCAAATGAGTGGCATGCTAAGGAGTGGAGAAATAGGACAGGTTTTAATGGGGAGCATTGCAAGTGGTGGGGGAACCGACGAGGAGGCTGTCGCCTGACTCCAGGTGGGAGACAAGGGGCTGATGTAGGACCAAAGAAGAAGCCAGACTTCAAAAATACCATGGAGGCATGATAGACAGGACCTCAGTAGCTCTTAAGGAAGGGCCTTAAGATGATTCTGGTTTTCCATGTGGGTGGCCTCCTTGGTGATACTTGCTATCAAGACAAGACATTAACTAGGAGAAACAGGCTTTCGAGAGAATGAGTTCAGTTTTGATGGCCAAGTTTGAGGGGCCATCATGACCCACACATGGGTGAGACTAGCAAGCAACCAGCAGTGTAACCCCAGAGCTCGGGGGGTCGGGGCACCATTAGAGTCTAATTTATTCAAAGATGACGTAAGACTTTTCAGCGTACCCATGGATTCTAAAAAATAACCAAGTTAGGGGCCAGTGCCGCCTGGAGACAGGACGGAGACGGTGTCCGGAGAGATGAGAGGTGTTACCGTCCCGAACGCCACAGATGAGAAGAGGTTAAGGAGCGGTGAGGAGTAATCAGTGTCCACTGCTACAGATCTTCCTTTGCCGAAAAGAAGCTTTGGAATTTGGTGACTAAACAATTATTGGTTAAACCTGGAGACAGCCCAAAACGTCCGTCAGCAAAAGGACAGGTAAGCCGGTGGTCTCTCTTCGTATGGCGGGACACTACTCGGCAATTAAAAAGGAGGATTACTGCTGTACTCAACAACGTGGATCAACCTCGAAAACATTGCATTGAGTGAAAAAAAAATTAAAAAGCCAGAAACTAAGAGAGCATAGTATACAATCTCACTTATATGGTGACCAGTCCACGGAGGACAGAAATCAGAGACCGGATGTCCCCGGGGCTGCTGGGAGGGCATGCGGGGGGAAGGGCGGGGGGAGGACTTGGTGGGAGAGGAGTATTTTCTGATGTGAAGACGCAGTCTCACCTCCTTTGAGGGTAGCTGCCATTGTCAAGGCATATTGAGTAGAAAACTTAAGATCCATGCATAACCAGAACACCAAAAAAAAAAAAAAATCATTTGTCCAAGATGGGAGCTAGGATGCCTGAATTAGCTGGCTTCCAAATCCCCACTGAGGTACAGAGACGTGCCTTTACAGAAGCAGGTGGCCTTACAGAGAGGTTGCAGCCACCGAGTTTCAAAGCAGAAAACCAGAAACCTGGAATGGAGAACTAGCAAGCCCAAGAAATAAAATCTAAGCGGCCGGTGGAGGAAGTCATAAAATGGACCCGTTTGCACTCTAGAACCTGAAAAAGCTCAAAAATGGGAAGTGAGGTTGAAGGCTGGCTAACAGGAAGAGGGCTGTTTAAGATTGTATTTAAAGTAGATTTATTTCCCCGATCTACAGTCCGGTGACGCCTCCCCCACCTCCAGCACAAGGCTGGGTGTTTATTCCCGGAGAGGCTGAAATGGAAGTTCTGTAGACCACGGAGCATCAGCTGTAGCTGAAGGGGGTACTCTTTCAAAACCAAGGGCTTGAGCAGCAGTCCCCCTCCATTCCGAATACTGAAGTCACCGGGCCTCTCTGGTGACTCAGCTCCGGAGTCTTGGGAAATGTGCTGAAGAAGAGTCTCGGCCATGTGATAAGTGGGGTTCTGGGAGATCCGATCAGCCCATGTTAAAACCAAAGCAAAACCTGCAAATCCCAGCTAGAGCAGGTCAGAAGGCTGTACGAGAGACGTCTCCAAGGAAACCAAATTAATAGACCATCTGATATGTTTTAACACGCTTAGAGAGTTAGATAATTGGGGAAATTTGAGTTTGAATTCAGGGATAAGTACATCAAACACTATGGAAACAATAAGCACATGTTTATTACCTCCTGGGATAATGAAATTTGAGAGTGAAAGAAAAAGTAACCAGAGTACGGTGATAAATGCATGAAAAGCATTTATATGGCCATAATAAACCCTGAACATAGATTTACCCAAAAATTATGAAGTCGTGATGTAACTATAGTTATAAGAGGTAAAGGGTGTGATGTGTGGGAAGTGAGGGGGAAACAGCTGGTAAAAAAAAAGTAGAGCCTCGTGTTTCATAGAACAGAGTGAACAGATAATGACTTCAACCGAAAAATCAAGAGGTAACAGTGCACACGTGTTGTTAGGGGCAAACACCAAAAGGAACCGTTGAAAGAGCTGCCCCCAAAGAGTGGCACACACGGCAGATGACATGAAGGGCCGTGTTTGACTCTTTAAACCACAGGCATGCAATGACTACGATTTTCAGAAAGCAACCCAATAAAACAAAGTTATATAGGTATTTGCAAAGAGAATTGCATGAAATGAGATCACTGTGGGTTGAACGAACACTGAGCCCATTCTCAGCCAACTGAGGACTGTAAGGAAGGGCAGTTCGTAGAGTTGCTTGGCGGAATGAAAGGCAAGGTAGGATTCAGGGAAAATCAATAGTTCCTTTGCTTTTGCTTATTTCGGTGGCTAACTAATTGGTTAGTCCATTGCTCGGGACAGGGATGAGCTTAACGAGGAGCGCCGAGGGGAGGAGCGTTGGCCGGGGTGAGAGGGAACACGGGATGTGCCGGAGCACCACAGGCGGTGCCGGCTGTTGACTCTGACACCAGGTTAAAGGGTCGGCTCGGGAAAAGAATAGGAACATCTTTTTTTATGATGGAGGTAAGGATTAGTAGACGAGGTTGTGTCAAACAGCTTACCTGAAGCCATAGTTTTCTCACCGGGGCGGTGGCTAAGTCATCTGTTGAGAAACTGGCATCTTTCCATGGTCTGAGGTTGGTGCCAACGGGAGGGAAAAATAAAGGGAATGCAGACAGCAATTTTGGGAACCCAGCTGAGGACAAAAATCAAAGTGCATGAATTAGTCAGCTAGGGCTGCCCAAACAAAAGGCCACAGACTGGGTGTCATCAACAGCAGACATTCATTTTCTCAGCGTCGTGGGGGCTGGAAAACCCAAGGCTGGGGGTCGGCAGGGCTTGGCATCGGCTCGTCAAGGCACCTCGACTTCCCACTGTGCGCTCACACGGGGCATTGAGAGAGGCCAGGCTCTCCCCTGTCCGTTCCCGTAAGGACAGTTCTGGTGGGTCAGGGTTCACCCTGTGACCTCACCTGACTGCAGTCACTTCTGCCTGCAAATCAGGTCACCCTGAGGGTCAGGGCTCCAGGGTGACTTTGAGGGACCACAGCATGTAGAGCTTGGCGCTGTCACACGAGTTCTTTCTCTGTTTGCACCCCGCAGCCAAGAGCAAGAGAGAAGGCAGGTGATGGACTGGTGCAAATGTGGGACTCTCGGACAGCAGACAGCCAGGGAGGGTGTGGCTCGGTGATGGAGTCGGTGATGGAGTCGGGCTCCAGAGAGGTGGGAGGAGGAGCAGGCAAAGGGCGGGGTTGAGATCGGGGAGGGGCCGCGTCCTCTGGGCGTGGAGGTCGCAGAAGGAGCAGGGACTCCCCTGCAGCAACCCCCGCCCCCGTGAGTGCAGCCCGAGCCGGTGCCCAGAGGAAGGCTCTGCACTTCCGGCTTCACGGGCAATGAGAGGACATTAGCAAAATACAGAGAAAATGGAGGGTCATCAGTGGTAGCAATCATCGCATTTTCCTTTCTTTTTAGGCGGCTAAACACGTTGAACAAGTGTGCCTCCATGAAACTTGATGTGAACTTCCAAAGGAAAAAGGTAGGTGTGCACGCCCTAACAGCCCTGGCCGCCCCAGCAGGTGGGGCGCGCATCCACGGACGCAACTCTCACCTGAGCGAAGGGACGAGGAGCGTGGCCTCCTGTGCCTGGTCTCCAAACATCCCACCTATCCTAACCGTCAACGGCTAACTGGGTCCATTATAAGCCCAGGCCGAGGTCTGTTTGACCATCTCCTTTTGCTTTAGTGTTTATCAGAGGCTTCGCATGAAGATGTAAAATGTCTTAATTCTTTATGGCAACCTTTCAGAAGCGTGTCGAGTGGCAAATGCTGCATGCCACCGTCGGGTCGAGTACCCCACAGATGTTAGCGGAGGAGGGGAACTCGGGGAACAGCCTGGGTCCGTGCCGGAGGGCCCTCTGCTTCGTCCTTTCCAGCAGCATTTCCACTCAGGGACACTTCCAGAGCCGTCAGTTCCCGGGCAGGTTCGCCGTCCACGGTCCCGTGTAATTCACTGCCTGGGGATTCTCCGTGTCCTAGAGAAAGAAAGTAAAACGCACACAGGTTAAGTCACTCGCTCACGATCTTTTTCGAACCCGTGGCGGGAGCCGGGTCTCAGCCTCGGGCGGGTCTCCACCCGCCCCAAGACTCCTGCCGAAAGCGCTCTCTCTTTCTCACTGAATCCATCCTTTTAGGAAATTCAGAGTTCAGACCATTCTCCACTTTTTTTCTCATTTTTTGCCTCCAACGCGCAACAAGCCAAGCCTCAGTGTATTTTGAAGAAGCAGAGAAAACATCTTCGAGTCCAAAGAAAGTGTTCTTTATCCCGACCTTCACAGAGAAGTCATGAAACCGCATGGCTTGTAAGTCACTCCCGAGTAACCTGATCCTTACAAATAGCTTCAGCCTGAATGTCTGCTCTAAAATAGCACCCAGAAGAGGAAAGGGAAAAAAGAGAAAAAGAAGGAGCAAATGAATTTTGGTGGACCCCACCTTGAAAACAATTTGGGGTTTGAGCTAGAAACCCCAAAGATTTAAGCTAATGAGGTAAAGTGGCGAAAAACAATATGCAGAGAGACACGAAAACACGAGCAGTTTGTCCAGGCCGAAGACCCCGCCGCACAGACGTGGGGTTGAACCGAGCCCTTGAGCGGCTCACACCACCCGAGGGGGGGGTCGGCCCTCGATCTGCCTGTGACATGTGGTTCCCATTAAGGGAACGCAGCCGCGCCGGAGGGTCTGCCCTGCGGCCGGCCCCTGCGGCGCCCACACGGACCTCTGGCTGCTCCGGTGTGTGACGAAAGAAATGCCCCGAACGGATGACGTGATTTGTTTACAGCCAAGCGGGGGATGATCCTCCCAGCCCTCCCCAGCCTTTCCAAACCCGGCCTGGAGGCGGCCTTGAGTGACCTTTGCTAGCCCACTGAGGCACCTTCACAAAAGCCCCTCTGTACATCGGTCCCTCGGCGCCCTGACTTGTGTAGTTGACGCCTCTTGCTGGGCGGGGTGGCCCCCTCCCTCCAGCCCCTGCTCGGCGGTAGGCCTCACCCACGCATGCACGCACTCGAGTGGAACATCGTACACGGGGGAGTCAGAGCCGGAAGTGTCAGACGAAGAATTCCAACGTGTGGCCTTCACCCGCTCGTGTGCTCAGGGGTGACCAGCCGCGGCGGCTGTGGCGGCCTCAGCTCCTGCGCGGTGACCCCTTACACACGTCCTAGGCGAGTCCTTCCTTTTCCTGCAAAAAAAATAAAAAATACGAAAAATAAATACAGGCTAGGAATAGGCCAGATGTCCAAAAGTAGAAAGTGACGCTCCAGAACTGAATACCACGTGAAGCTTCAACCCACTTTGCAGTCTGTTTCTTCGGAGGAACAGCAAGCAGTGCTTCCCCCAGCCACAGCCCCACGTCGAACAACCCAAAAAGTGAAAATACATGCTCCTCTGTAACCTGCGCAGGCCCAGACGTGCGTGCTCCTGCGGCACGGCCCCCCGTGCGGCCTGTCTGGGGCCCTGTTCTCCTTCTCCCCTTGGGGCCACTGGGGTACGGAGGGGCCCTGCATGCTCGCCCGGCGGTTTCTGTGGGGCGGGAACACTCACTCACACACACACACCTGCTGCGGGCCGGGCGCGGCCCCCGCCCCGACCCCACGTGACAGGTGCGGAAACTAAAGGGCAAGAAGGTAGCGACTTGCCCACAGCCACACACCGGTAGCCGAGGCAGGCCCTGACCCCCTGCTGGCCGGGCCCAGACGTTCAGAAGCCTGCTGCAGCCCCCCTGGCCGCCGAGTGGCCCTGGCCGGGGACCTGGGCGCGTTTCCTCGGCAAAGTACGGCGGGTTTTAGAGGAGGGCCATTTCTCGCCGTCTGTACTCAAGTCCACGCGTGATGTGATGTCTTCAGGGACGTTTGACTCTGGGTGTCGCACAGGGAACGGGTCTCGAATCTTACTGCTCGACGGGCATTTTCCCTCGTGCGGCTGTGTCTGAGGAGTTCGCTGGGTCCACCCAGGCACCGGAAGCAGTCTAGACAAGGAGGGTGACACCTCACTCGTGTTCACCTGCGTTCAGTGCCACTTGGGAAGCATGGGGAAAAGGGAATCATGGCTGCCCGCACACGAGAGTTTCTCCTTGCAAAAGGGAGCGGTGGTCTCTCAAAGATTCAGGGTTTTCTTCTCGCCTCCAGAAGAGTTCGGGGGAGACACATGGCCTCAAGTTGGGCCGAAAACCTCGCTGAACCACCTGTCCAGCCCACCCAGAGGCCTGGGCGGGGCCTCGGGACACCGCAGGGGACCAGCCGGTCAGCGCCACTCGCTCGAATGCAGGAGAACGGACGTCTAAATGCCCCAGGGACTGTGGGTGGGCGCCGCTAGCAGCTGTGGGCCGTGCGGGCTCCTTTCCAGTGGGAAGGTGTGGCCACGTGCCCCTTGAAAAACATTCTTTCTAAACCTCCCCTTCGCCGTGTCTGGTTGGCCGTCATCTCTGAGGAATACATCGTTTCAGCTAAGAATGCTCTCATTTTCTATAAAACCATACACATCCAAGCTTCACCTAAGGGAAAAGCAAGGCCCACGCCAATGCCACCGGTTCTCCGAGAAGTGTTTCTTCTTCACGATCGCCCGCAAAATCTCCGCGTGCTGTGTGACAGCATTGACCCTAATGCAGTTACGGTTCGTGTGTCCGCAGCATGACGTCTGGCCCAAGGTCAAGCCCGAGACTGGGGGCGCCAAGGGGCCGCCTGTGAAGAGAGGCCGGGACAGGGCGCACACGCGCCCAGGACTCTTCCCCAAGATTTCCCGCCAGAGGAAGAGTGGCTTCTGAAGAAGCTTCTAGCTAGATTACAGTTTCCGTAAAGCTCTCTGACCTCACGACCACGGTGGACAGCACACAGAACCGCGGCTGACAGGCACCTCGCCGCCTTTCCTCCTGGCCGGCACTGTCGGCGTCACCATCACCAAGGAGCCGCGGTTGTCAAGATTCCTGGCGTCTCCCGCACTGCACTGCGTTGCACCCCCGGGACCTCCCGGCCGCCTCCCAGCAGAGGCAAGAGAGGAAAGTTGCTCGTACTCCCGCATTCGTGTGGCTGGAGAGTTACGGTCTGCGGCGGAAGGACACTGCGTGTGGGCCTCCTGGGACCACGGGCTCCCTGAGCTGCACCCCCTTCCGTCATCATCCCGAGCCTCCCACCCGCTGCAGGGTGACTTCGCAGGGCGCCCCTGACAGGGCGGCGCAGCCCGTGCTTGAAGCATCTACACAGGATGCGTTCGCGGCGCGGCGAGGCCGTTTATCTCATTCTGATGACCCTGGGTCTTCCGCAGAGTACTCGGAAAGCTGGTTCGGTGCCAGCTTGCCCTTCCGATCCCAGCTCTTTTATCTAGGGAAGCGCAGCACACAGATTTCCCTTCTGCTCCTCCTCTGGCCCGAGGCCAGCCCGCCATGGCTCCCGTCTTTGTGCAGACCGTTGCGTGGCAGTGAAGTCGCCCGCGTGGTGCCAGCTACGACAGCACAGCCAAGTAGCCGCACCCAAAATATTGACTGCCCCACCCTTGACAGAAAGTCTCCTTCCTCCTGCTCGGACTAGCACAAGGTTTCCCAGACCGCCGGTGGGGAGTGCTGCCTCTGTTTCGTGGTGTTTTGTTGTGCGTTTCCAGTATGCTCCTAACCAAGACACTTTTATAAAGTCCAATACAGATGAGGGAGAAAGAGAAAAATTTTTAAAAAGAAAGTTATGGAAAATAGAAGCCTAAGTGTCTTCTCTGACTCAACAGACGCGAAATTGCATTCCAGTAAATACAATCAAAACAAATAGAAGGGGAAATACAAAAGAATTACAGAATTCAGATTTTTATTGAAAGTGTGCATAGGGCAATCAATATGAAGAATTCTGATAGTACTTCTAACTCTGTGGTTGCTCAGCCCTTACAATGAAATAAAAAGTTTCTTTTGAGAGAGCAATTGCCCACGTTAAATGCCTGTACTCGGACTTCAGCCAAACCCCGTGACTGGGAGTGTTCGTGACCTTTGAGTTTCTTGTTCATTATCCAGTTTAGGTTGGACTGGCAGCACTGCTCACAGGAGGGAATGTATATCTGAAATGTATTTTATTCTTTGTTTTAATATTAATCATTATGAAGAAACCAGTCTCACCAGTCACGTGTTGGCTGGAATCACAAAAGAGGCTTGAAAGTAATTTTTGAAAGCCCCAGGTACTCCTTTTTACCTTTCTTCTAAATGAAATGTGTTGCTGTGTTTTCAAAATTCATCGTGAAGCCTCTCTTACTAGCCAATTCCAACCATTGTCTTTCTGTCAGACAACAGATCCTGTACATTGTACCCCTTGAGTTATGGTAGATCGATTCACCTTGAAATGTACGTGCTGTAATGTGAACCTACTGTGTGCAACACCCGAAACGGGCTCTATGCTGCTCAGTGACACTGGTCTGCTGATCATGACCTTGGAGAGCACGGCCTGGCCAAAGGGTGACAGACCTTGTAACGCCGACTCTCAGCGTCTGTACCCATCGAAGACTGGTTAGCCTGGGCACCGGCAGGCCCTCGATCACACTGTGAGTGACACCGCTCCCAAGTTCCTCATTTCCAAACCAAAACTATGAGTTCTTTCGATCACCCTTCACAGGAAGCTGTGGCTCTCCGATGCTCAGCCATTCTGAGTGCCCTTCCCTAGAAATGCACCCCTTCCTCTGTGCCCCTTCCAAGGTGGCACTTAGAACAAGAGCCCACTGCTCCGGACATGGGTGAGCCATGGGTGACCCAGTGGGCTGAGTCTCTGGAGTCTGGAGATCCGTGCATCCTAAAGTCGGGGACCAGCTTTGGTGGCCACAGGGCATGGCTCACTCACATAAATTTAAATCTGCTACAAGGCTCAAAGCTACGCATAGTAACTGCTGTCAAAACAAGTCTGAGCCATCCCGCACGCCCTCGACTTGACTTTTAAAGGTGGGGTCTTTATATTTTACTCCACGAAAGGTCATCTGCTTAACAGGCCACCCTTCCACTCTGTTAGGACCTCAGACATCTCCGTATCGCCCGTCTCTGACAGGGAAAATGGCCTTGATCTTGCCCTTTAAGGTTCATGTGGCATTTCTGCATCTCATCTCACTTGGCTCTGGTGACATAGCGTGCTGCGAGTGTGTTACGACGCACTGTTCCCACTTGACAGCTGGGAACACGGAGTCTCAAAAGGGGTGCCTTGCTCCAGACCACTCGGTGAAGCACCCGGGGCCCTCTTCACACTGTAAAACCACGAGTTCTCCGGCTCGTTCCACTTACTTTTCAAGTGGACAGAACTCTGGGGCACCCTCCGGCGACCTCTCCTTCCTGTGTGCAGCCTCCTCCTGCTCACGCTCCGGTGGAGTCACCTTGACCAGTTACTAGCAAGACTCGCTGTAGCGCCCGGCACAGTCAGCCGGGCCAGGAGAGCCTTTGGCAGCCCCCCAGGCAAAGTCCAGACGGGCCACGTCCGTAGTATATATTCTCATGGTCTACTACACCTTTAAGGTAGGAGAATAAAGTTAGTTTGGTGTTTCTTCTTCTCGTAAACTCATCTGACTCCCACCATTTCTAAATAATCAAAGTATTTGTTTTTAGCCTGAAAAAAATGATTACATGGATGAAATCCGATCCCCTCTTAGCCAATAAATACACCTCCACCATTATGGGCGGGGTTCTGCTGCGTGCCTGGCAGTCTGCTGGGCCCTGAGTGTATCCAAGTGAAATTCTAGTGCAGCGTGTTTCTCCTACTGTGGATCATAGCCCGTGAACGGGTTGTTAAATAAATGTGATGGGTCACAAACATTTTTCTAAAAAGGAAACAGGCTGAACTAGATGATAAAATGTCAGGTACAGCTCAGTGAAATAAGTCAGACAAAGACAGACAAATACCATATGATTTCACTTGGACATGGAATTTAAAAAAACAAAACAAACAAACAAACAAGCCAGAAACAGACTCGAAGATGCAGAGAACAGACTGACAGCTGCCAGACAGGAGCGGAATAAGAACTGCAAACTTCCAGTGAGAAGGCAAGCAGGCCGCGGCGGGGGGGTGACATGTGGTGGGGGGAAAGAAGGCAGCGATAAGCATCATCGTCACTGTGCGCGGTGACAGGTGGCTACCGAGCTGCTGGCAACCCGGTTGCAAAGTGTGTAAATGCCAAATCACTACATTGTACACTCGGAACTGATAGGATATGGTCTGTCAACTGTATTGTAATAAAAAACATCAGCGTCTAAACAAGGATCACTCTAGTAATAATTATTTATTTAGGATACTTCCTGTGTGTGCCTGCAGCTGTGGCAGAAACCGTTTCTCATTGCGTTCCACTACCCACAGTTAGAAAGACCCTGCAACAGAGGGAAACAAAGACACGGAATCCTGGTATTACTCTCAGGGACATACTCTGAGGAAGAAGAAAGTGCTAAAGGGGAATGAGTTTTTTTCCCGTTTGTTTTGGTTTTGTCTGTTGTTGATTTGGGTTTTTGTTTGTTTGGGTTCAAGCACTCTAAATACTGACAAAAGCTTCTCGGCCCAGTTGCCTTTTCACGGGCCTGTGTCGGGGGGCAAACCCCTTCCTGCTGCCCAGAGCTGGGGCACTAAGCTCTCAGGGCCTGGCAGACAGGGTGGGCGTCCGTTCCCAGTCCTGGGTGCCCCGCCCGGCCTCTGTTCTCAGCCAATCGCAGGCGTCCTCATCCGACCAGCACAGGCTTTCCCAGCATCGGTCACGGAGCGGGGGCCGGACTCCAGGGAGCCCACACTACATACTGTGGCTTCTATTTTAAAATATGTATAATTTCTTTAAAAGCGTGTCTTTCTCTTGCTTTCTCAAAACCTATTTGCTAAAAGGGCTTTTTTCAGAATGCCTATCTAATATGAACTTCCCCTCACCGGTTTCCTGAAATGCGACGTGAAAATCCAGAACGTGAACTCCCACCTCCCGCGGTGCCGGATACACAGTGGCCGCAGGTGTCGGGGGTGTATCGTATCAATCACAGGGCAAAGGGTGGTGGAAAAGGCAGAAAATGCTACAAAGAAAGCATAATTTTGAGTCATCATCCTAGAGTCTGCCTTTTTCCCACTCCCACTTTTTAAACTCTTTCGCCAAAGCCTTCACAACCTTTTTTTTTTTAATGCAAAGCTAATTTCCCACCGAGAGCCCAGAGCTGCGGAATTCTTTGCCAGCACGTTGCTTTTGTACTTGCTTCCACCTTATACTTGAATGTCCAAATTGGTCACTTAATCCAACCCAAATGGATCTAGATTTTCGAGAAATGAATGAAGAATGGGGAATCCCCCACTGTTCTGGGCTGGGCTGCTCTTCGCTTCCCCTTGAACGTAGAATTCATTGCCAAGTCGAGGCAGGGGCAGAGTGGGCGTTGGGCGTGTACACAGACAGGTAGGCAGTCCCGGTGGGACAGCCAGTAGACAAGCAGCTGCACAAACGCTGGGAAACAGCCACTAAGCAAGCACCCCTCAGCGAGCGACCGTGGAACGAACACCCTGTCGCAGCCCCTTGGCACCCCGGTGGGCAGGGCCTGCTGTCGGTCCAACTTTACGAGTGGTAGAAGCTTCGGAAAGAGTCAGCCGCGTAGGTGCGGTCACAAAAGCTCTTAGCTGGCACCCCTGGCCCTTGGGTCTCAGAACCAGATGACGGAAAGAAATAAAATAAATTCAATGAACAAAACCGTGCTGAGCGGTTGCTCTGAGGTTGGCTCTGGGAGGGCAGCAGCCGCGGACACCCGGCCTGTGAGTCTCGGAGCTCCCTGCAGTGGCCGAGAATGGGCGTGTGTCTGTGACGGGTGTGGTCATCATCAGAGCAGATGCTAAATACAGGTCGAGTCCAAATGCCGCAGGAGGGCAGGGGACTGTGTGGTCATTGTCTGGGGCGGGCAGTCAGCAAAGGACTTTCTCCGCAGTGGGCCACGTACTGCCCTTCAAGGCTCAAACCCCGAACGGAGCTGGGTGTTGGGGGGCAGCAGCTGTGGTCCCTCCGGGGGCCAGAGTGGAGGGGAATTGGGAAGAACAGCCGAAATGATGTAGCCCCGGTGAGGGGGGCTGGTGCCACACCACGTGCTGTTAGAAAGGCCACGGGACGCTGACGGCTCCTGCGCTGGGAGGTCACGTGGTCATGCTGGACTGCACCGTGGGAAGCCAGTCCGATGGGGAGGACACTGGGGATTTCGACTGCGGCAGACCCAGGGAGGGGTGCCGAGGGCCGAAACCCAGGGAGTGGGGGGTGAGGATGCAAAGGAGGGAACAGATTTGAGAAGCATTGGAGCTGGGCCCTGGGAACATGCACAGGCGAGGAGGAGGAAGGAGCTGATGATTCGTCTCGGAAGGAAAGTGTTGTTTAGGTGCTTCAGGCCACGGTCTGTACTGAACTGGAGGGATTTGCAAAGGTCAGCGAGGCCACCTCTGGCCTCAGGGAACCAGCCTCCCGTCCCTCAGGGGCTGCGAATTCAGACGGAGCCCAACAGGCGGGATGGGTGGGGAGCAGAGTGTAGACCAGCAAAGCGGCGGGGACCGGGGCAGCCCCGGTAGGGCCCGTGTCTGCAGGCCCTTGGACTCAGAACTGACCGGAAACGAGAAGGCTGGCCCAGCGGGCCCCTCCTGCACTAGCGATCTCCGCGATTCCGCTGCGGGAATTCCGTAGGGGGTTCTGCTGTCCGTTTACACGGGGAGTAGACAGTCCAGGTCAGGCTGGGGGGGCGGAGGGAAGGAGCCCTCGCTTCCAGATGCAGGGGCTTGGAGGCTCGGAAGAGGGAAGCCGGAGATAGGGACCTGGGGCTCCGGGAGGAGGTTTCAGGGGAAAAGTGAGTGCCTTTCGCGGCAGGATTAAGTCTCTGTGTGAAAGAGAGACCGCAGATGTTTCAGATTTAGACTGTCTAGTCAGACGGTAATTACACCTTCTTTGTGATCAGCCAAGGAAAGCCTCTTGGGAGGAAGGCACGACGCAGAAGCTGTGTGAGAACCGAAAGGAAGGAGGCTGGGCAGGTTGGGAAGGGGCCCTCCAGCCACCAGGGAGGAGCAGGGCGTGCGGGACAGCGCGCGACGGTGGGAGGGCCCGGTGAGGGGCCCCCAGAACCCCGCGGGTGCCTGTGACACGGAGGGAAGGGAGTGGGGTGGGCCGGCCACACCCCTGCCCCCCATCGTCCCACGTCATCCGAATCTCGGGCCAACGCGCGCTGTCCTTGGTGTCTTCCAGGGCGACGACTCGGACGAGGAAGACCTCTGCATCAGCAACAAATGGACTTTCCAAAGAACCAGCCGGCGCTGGTCTCGGGTGGACGACCTGCACACGCTGCTTCCGGGGGGCGACCGCGGCGGCTCGCCGGGGGACGTGAGGATGCGCAACACCGCCAGCAGTGAGAGCGTGCTCACGGACCTGAGCGAGCCCGAGCTCTGCTCCGTCCACAGCGAGAGCAGCGGGGGCAGCGACGGCCGCGGCCCGCCCAGCGGCCAGGGCGCCGGCCGGGAGGCCTTCCCCTGCGCCGGCCAGTGCTGCTCCGACGGCCCGGCCATGCTGGACGCCGCGGTGCTCAGCCCCAGCCTCCCGCGGTCCCCCCGAGACATGCCCAGCTACCCCTTCCACGAGAAGAATGAGAAACCCAGCCGGGCCCGGGCCAAGTCCTTTCTGAAACGCGTGGAGACGCTGCGAGGGAAAGGCGCCCAGGGGCGGCCCAAGGGGCCAGGGCGGACGGGGGGCTTGGTGATCAGCGGGCCCGTCCTGCAGCAGGAGCCCGAGTCCTTCAAGGCCATGCAGCGTGTCCAGATACCAAATGGAGACCTCCAGAACCCGGCCCTGGCCGCCTGGCCCGCAGGGGGCCCGGGCTGCAGCCTGCGGAGCGGCGAGAGCAGCCCCTCGGAGCACAGCGGTGGCGGCGGCCTGCGCACGCCCAGCCCCAAGGAGCGCAAGTGCCAGGAGGCGCACAAGCGCGGGGGCATGTACTTGGAGGACCTGGACGTGCTGGCCGGCACAGCGCTGCTGCGGGGCGCCGCGGACCAGAACCACACCCACGCGTTCCACTCCCAGGAGAACCTGGTCGTGCACGTGCCGAAGGACCACAAGCCCGGCACGTTCCCGAAGGCGCTGTCCATCGAGAGCCTCTCGCCCACGGACGGCAGCAACGGGGTGAACTGGAGGGCCGGCGGCGGCGGCGGCGCCCTGGGCGGCGGGCAGCAGGGCCCCGGGGCGAGGGAGCCCGGGCTCATGGCGTCCTGCCACAGGGCCAGCCGCGTCAGCATCTACGACAACGTCCCCGGCTCCCACCTGTACGCCAGCACGGGAGACCTGCTGGACCTGGGGAGAGAGGACCTCTTCCCCCACCTGGACGACATCCTGCTGCAGGTCAACGGGCTGCAGGAGGTGGTGGACGACTGGTCCAAGGACCTGCTGCCGGAGCCGCACGCCAGGGGCGCCGCTGTGCTGGGGAAGCCGGGCTCGAGCCCCTTCCCACCGCCGCCGCACCAGATCGCCCTGGACTTCGAGGGCAGCTCCGTGTCCGAGGGCCAGACCACGCCCAGCGACGCGGACAGAGACGGCACTTCGCTGAACGGGTCCGAGGCCCCCGGGGCCCGAGAGAGGAGGGATTCTGGGGTCGGGGCCTCTCTGACCAGGCCCAACAGGTTGGTGGCACGGTGTTGTGAAATGATCCCTAATCCACTTGGTAACAATCACGGGCTGTTTACTTGTCCACCACGCAAGCACGGAGCACGTGCTGAATGCCCGAGTCCACCGTCAGGGATCTGTGCGGGCCGGAAGCATTGGGTCGGAAGTCTGTCTTCCATCCAGTTAAGCGGTGGTTGAATGTGATGCCTCACATCTCTGTCTGGATCTAAGTTTTATTCCAAAAAACGGGGCTGGTGTTCGAAGGCCCGTGCTTGGCGAGTAGGTAATCGCTGATGACAGGCACCCGATGCCAGCACCCAAGTGCTACTCCGTGACCCTTAACGGCGTTCATTAAAATTTCTCCACCCCGCAGGTTACATGGTTTTAATGTAATTGTAGGAGGAAATTCTGAGATCTCAAGTGGGTGCTTTGTAAGTTTACTTTGGCTTCAAAATGCCAGTTGCAAACTGCTGTGTAGAGACCGTTGCCAAAGCACCCTAGGCAGTGGCCCTGCGTGGGCGTCACTGGTAGGAAGTGATGATGTTGCGTGCCTCTCGTGGGCGCTGTGACGCCTCTGGGGACTCACAGACGTGTCACCACCTGAGGAGTGCCGCCTCTGCGTCCGTCACCTTTGGGCTCCCTCCCGACAGCAGTGAACGGGAGTTCGAATGCAGAGACAGGACGACAACATGAAAATACAGGGGGGGTCTGGCAGAAATAATGCCCCTGGTGTGTGAGCTGGTAATCTGTACCAGATCCTTTGTCACAAAATCATAAGCACGTCATTCTGCAACACAGCAATACCGCACTCCAGCACACTAAGGACACTTTAGGTGACGTGTTCAAATTGCTGTCCTTCTCGTGCGAGACGTTCACATCCCCACCAGCCACACGGGAGGGCGTATTATGGGGTTCCCAAACACTTCCTTCTCTCTCTCTCTCTCTCTCTCTCTCTCTCTCTCACACACACACACACACACACACACTCAGCTGCTTTCAGCACTTTGGGAACACATTAGGAATGAAAAGAAAATGTAATATACCTTATTTAAACCTCCTAATGACACGGAGAACAACTTATCCTGATGCGTCAGGCTTGAAAAAAAAACATTTCTTGGGTCTCTTCTATACGTGTGTCTCCCGTCCCATTTGCTTGGCGACTTTCTTGGCTCGGAACCTCTCCTGATGAGCTACTTGCCGATCAGTGCCATGCTGGGTGTCGGGGCGTCGCATCCCCGTAGTGACGGCGCGTCCCCATGGTGACGGCTTCTCCCCGGCACAGGCGACTCCGGTGGGACAGTTTCCAGCTCTCGCACCAGCCGCAGCCCTCCACGGCCTCGCTGCACGTCAGCCACCTGAGCGCCGGGCAGCTGAGCCTGCTGCAGCGCGTGTCCCTGCTGCGCCTGACGGCCATCATGGAGAAGCACTCCATGTCCAGCAGGCACGGCTGGACCTGGTGCGTAGCGCCCTCCCCGGGGCGGGGCGGGGCCGGGCACGAGGAGGGGCGGGGCCAGGCAGGGGGCGGGGCCTCCCGTGGGTGGGGAGCTAAGCCCGAGAGACCGCAGAAGCCTCAGGGTTTGCTGGCTGATTTCTGAAGCTCCCCAGCTGTGACCTCCTAAATGTGACACCCCGAGCTCTGCTTCGCGGTCCGCCTCAGCTGGACCGATGTCACCTGCGGACACAGGGCTTGTGTGCAGCAACCTGCTGGGGGCCAGGGAGGTCATTCCAGCTCCGAGAAGGACAAAAGACAAGGGGAGAGTGATGAAGGGGTGGAGGGGGCGGGACAGGAGAATTAGAAAGAAACTTGCGGTGAAGTAGTTCTGGCAGTTTCTCACGGGCAAACCTCTGTCCTCTGCACCGGGCCAGAGCTCCACACGGCAAAGAGCATTGCACTCTTCACGCACACGCCTGCTTTTACTTCCCCGGCCAGTCAAAGCAAGACTGGGCAGTAAACGCTTCCCACCAGGGAGTGGACCAAGCAGGTGTGGGCACTTGGATGCGGACCTGTTTCAGACGACTTGGTGGGTTCGAAAACACGTAAAACGTGTCACTGATGGTCCTGCGGTGTATAGTACATGCGTAGAAGGATTGGCACGGCTTCCATAAAAGTAATTTAGGAAGTTGCAGGTTGCGTGAGCAAATGAACACCTGCCTGTGTAGTGACATTTCCTCTCAAGAGTGCAGTGGGCGGTAGAAAAGTCACAGCCAAGAAACGCTTTTCATCTTTCCGGCCCTCGTGTCTCCCCGAGACCGACCAAATTACTTCTTCTGCTCGTAATTTGTCAGTGTGTTTCATTTTGTCCTGTCGGGACTTTTAAGTGTCCATGCCTTCAGAGGTGTGTCAGTGACGGTTAAACTAGCACATCGCACGCTTGACTTGGGTCCCAAACCCACCTGCCGACGCAACTCGCGCTGTGTAATAGCTCGCGTTCTGCTGCAGGCCGGGCCTCGTGGTCCTCCTTCCGAGTCCTGTGGTTAATTCAGGGAGAAACGGTGAACCTCCCCCCGCCGGGCCTGTCGGGTATTCCAGACAAAGCTTGGCTTCCCCTCTTGCTTTGCTTTCGCCGCCTCACCCCGCCGGGCCCCCCGCCCCCGGCTTCCCCAGAGGCTTGATGACCCGTTCCATGTGAATTCCAGGTCAGTCCCCAAGTTCATGAAGAGGATGAAGGTGCCGGATTACAGAGACAGGACTGTCTTTGGCGTCCCCCTCATCGTCCACGTGCAGAGGACGGGGCAGCCGCTGCCGCAGAGCATCCAGCAAGCCCTGAGGTATCTGCGCAGCAACTGCCTGGACCAGGTACGGGCGGGCACCCCGCGGGCGGGCTCGGGGCGAGGAAATGCCGGGCGGGGTCAGAGCCGTCCCGGGCCACGCAGGATAGGCGCCACCCAAAGGAGAAGGCGCGGGTGCCCGCCTCGGTCAGCGTTTCATCAGGCCAGGCCTCGCCCTGGTCCAGCTGTTCGAGGGTGTTTCCTGTGGGGCGCCCAGAGTGGCACCCCAGGGTGACTGCACCAAGTTCACGAGACTGGTTCACAGCGGTAACGTCCACTTCCCGTTCCCTGGAGACTGTGCGCTGCGTTTCCTCTTCCACTGTTGTCCCCCTGCCGTCCTTGATTCCACAGCATCCCTTCTAGCCCCGTTTTACTTTTTTTTTTAAGAATTGGGTTTTGGATCTGTCCCTTTATTCTTTCTTTTTTAAAGCAGCACCATGACCGAGAAAACGTAACGCAACGACAAGTTTATTTACTACTTTTTTTAAGTGTGCGCATCAACTGTGAAAACCGCGTCAGCTAAATCACAACCCCCCGCCCGCGTCTGGTAGAGCCGACTGAAAGGCTCAAGCCCCACGAGCTGGGCGGAGGTGGTTGGCCGTGTCCAGCACTGTCTGGGTGGGGACCACGGCGACGGTGGGCCGTGACTGGGCCCGGGGCACCCCGTCCTGCGGCTCGCAGGCCACGCCTTCGATCCTCCAAGTTAACACCCGTTAGCGTCTCGGACGTTCTTTCCAAAGCAAGAGCCGTGTTGCCACTTGATCCATTGTGACCCTGAGCAGCGGGGACGCTTTCGGGTGACTAGTCTGCGGTGGCTTTTGTTCAGTGTCCTCTTTCATACCAGGGCGGAACCCGGAGGTGACTCGCAGGGGTTATTGATCTCCCCATGGCCTGGGGCTCCGTGGACAGGACCGAGCAGAGCAGCCAGACCTCAGAGGTGCTGGCCGCGGCCGCTCACGTCAGCCCGGACACTGAGATCGCACGTAGCATGAGGGTGTTCTCCGGACGAATCAGAGACGCGTTTTCAGGGGAACGGGATGGGGGTGACTTTCCCGTCTGATGCCAGAGAAGGGGCAGAGATCCGTGTTTCCACATTTCTCAGGGGGTCTCGTGGACAGAGGGAGCTGTGGCTGTTTTTGCTGTTGTGGGGACGGCTGTTGCGTTCTGAGAAGTGGCCGTGATAGCTTGGCCGTTGTTTCTGGGAAGGAAGGGCGGCAGACCGCCTGTTTGGAACTGGGGGACTCACCTTTAGCGAGTGCCCCAGCGTGGGCTTGCAAAGACCATCCCGACAGAGCAAACCAGTGAATCTGGTTACGTGACCTTTTTGTGTTTTTATTTTGCTTTTTTAACTTTTACAGCTTTTTACCAAAAGCACACGCTCATTAAAAGCAGGCGACCTGCGGGTATTTTCCTGAGGAAGCTCTCTGGAGAGGTGGGCGCGGGTGAATATTCGGAAAGGCCCATGTAATCTCTGTTCACGGCCCTGAAAGTGTCGCTTCCACCGAGCCCTGGGGCTGAGGACTTTGTGGTCTCGCTTGTGCTTCTGTTGGTTTGCGAGGGCACAGTCAAGGTTGAGCTTTGTGGACGGAGAAGCTTTCCAAGCTTCTTCATTTTTGTAAAGATCCGTTAAGACTCATCCTCCCTCCTGGCCGATGCTCTTAGAGTCTTCGGCTCGGCATTTCACCAGGCTCCGAAAATGTTTTGTTCCATGCGCTCCAATGAGTGGTCGGCTAATGCTCATCAGCCGAGGCTCTCTAAGAGAACCTTGTTCAGGAGTGCCTGAAGGAGATTCAGGCCGCCTGTGCCGTTGGTCCGATAAGAAGAACCTTTCTTGAGTGCCCAGCGTGCTCAGGGACCATTCATTCTGAGTGTTTCCCACGCCCTGTCCCCATGCACCCCACCGCCCCTGGGGGGTGTTATGTCTCAGGGAGCAGCGGTGGGGCCGGGACGGCTCGGAAACCTGCCCGGCTTCAGAGTCCAAGTTTTTAACCCCCGCCCGCCCCCGCCTGCCGTTGGAGTTGCTGGTTCCCGGTGGGCTTGGGGGCGGGGATGCCCTGTGCCGAGCTGAGGGGCACGCTGAGAAGGGGCCCTCCACAACCCATCGACAAATTCACTGCCAGGGCGGTGCGGGTGACGTTGGCCGTGACGTCACGCCGTGCCCCTGGCCAGAATGCAGGGGTCTCTGTGGCGCCAGCCCCCGCGGGCACCCCATTGGCTTTGCGCCCCCGGGCTGTCGTTCACACCGAGTGCACCAGACTCGTGCAGCTCCGCACGTGGCCTCCCCCAGGGGCCGCCGCCGCCGGGGGGTGCTGCTCGTGGGAAACGTGTGTGATGGGGGGGGAGTGTTGGGTATCCACTCCATCCCTAGTTTCAGCTGCTCTTTTCTGTCTGTATCTTCTGTTCGCTCTAATTTTCTCACCTGTTTTCCTCAATTCGATTGCATCTTACTGTATTTGGAGATCACTGTCCCGGAAGTCACCTTGGATTAATTCTCTCTTGAGCAACGTGGGGTAGGAATGGGTGGCCGGTGACACCGCTGCTCTCGGGCCCACACGGTCCCCGCGCCTGCTGGGACCCGGCCCTGCCCCCCGTGGGTCCTGAACGACACACAGCACCAGTCTCTCCCCAGTGCCGCCGGGTCCAGGCTCCTGTTCGAAGCAAAAGGCCTGTGCGTGGGCACCGACACCCCCCGACCCACCCCCACTCACGGTCTGTTCCTGGGCTCCGTGCCAGCCCTGACGCTGCTGCTTAAACCCGGAGGAACGCCAGCACACTTAGGTAGGAAAGGCTCAGAGACACTGATTTATGACATAAACACTGGTTCTCGGTGCACCCGGCATGCATAAGGCCACCCTCCCTCGCGTCGGTCAAGAGGAAGAAGAATCCGAGAGCTGTCAAGGGGACGTCACTGTCATCACCTCGGCCATGGGGGGCGCTCGGCCCTGGCACAGGCTTCCACACACGCGTCCCTCCCCTGTCACTGTGCGGAGTGTGGAGAGCGGACACCCACCAGGCCCCTGGGCGGAAGGAGGGGGTAGCAGGAAGGGGCCCGGGGAGAAGGAGAGAAACAGACGGAGAATCGACGGGAACCGTGGCCGGGAGGAAGGCTGGCCTGGGGACTTCAGAGCAAGCACGAGCGAATAAAAGCGAAGGCGTCAGAAATGAAAGAGGCGGCCGGAGTCCCAAGGAGGGAGTGGACGTAGCCCTGGATGCGTGTTCTTTCTTCACCGGCGGCACCTCCTGTGAACTGAGGAGACTCGGGTCAGCCCAGGGTCGCGGCAGCTCAGCCCCGGGGGCGTAGCAGAGAGGGGTGTCTCGGGATCACGTGCTTCCTCTAAACCAGCCGTGGCTGGTCACCAGGCTGCCTCCCAGTGTCGTGGCCCCCTTGCACCACCGTCCAGGACTCTCCCGAAGCTTTGCCCTTAACCACAGGGCAGGAGGCGTCCTGCGTGAGCTGGGCCCTTCCCCTGACGCTGAGCACCCATCTCAGGACAGCAGCCCCAAAACATGGCCCGCGGCTCGCCTCCCACACTCCCGAGTGCAGAGCGGTGCGTGTGCGGCCACCCACAGTGTGTCTGTCCTCGCCCTTGCAGCCGGCTGCCGGTGAAATAGGGACGTGTAGCCCTCGGTGATGACCCATTTGTCCTCAGACAGAGCGGAGTGTGAGAGCAGCCTTGCTCTGTTGGCCGAGCTTCTAGTCCTGCCCTCCACCAGCGGTGCCCAGGAGGATGAGTCCTGCGGCTGCTGAGAGACCCGAGCTCCCTGCGGGGGAGGCTGGCCCCCCGGGGCTCCGCCTCGGAGCCCCCGCACCCCGTCCTCGGGACCCGCTCTCTCTCTGAACAAAACCGGCCTTTCTTCAGTAGCGGAGCCCGTGTCTGCAGCAGAAGAGGAAACGGGACTCCTGATAAACGGCATTCACTACCGAGAGGATGATTAGCCCACACCGGACACCGAGGGGGCGCTGGCACGTCGTCGAGAGGAAATCGGAACACTCACGCCCGGCCTCTCCCAGCGGAGCGGTGAGCTTTACAAGCCCACTGGCGCGGGGAAGACACTTCACAAGGGTCCTCTGCCCCTGCCAGTGTGCACACTCCCTGCTGCTACCCTTCTACCCCGTTTTAGCTGAGTGCCGCCCTGCCGCAGCCGAGCTGTTGGGTGGAAGAAAGGGAGAGGAGAACGGCAGCCTGGACCGAAGAAGCACTCATCCCTCCTCCTTGCACCCCTGAAATGACGGCTCGAGGGCAAAGCAGGGGCTTCCAGAATGAATCTCCGTCGCTGACCCCCACTCTTCCCCTTGGAGGGCGGGCTTGAAGGTCGGCGGGAGTGGGACACCCTGACAGTCTTTGCGCGTCCATTAAGAATTTCAAAACAGGGACCGCAGAGCAGTAAACCAAGCGTGTGGCCCTGGGCGGCTGTGTACTCTCTGCAGACGGGGGCCCCGGAAAAGCAGTGTGGGCTGCTTGGGTCTTCCTCGGAGAAGCCGAAGGGTCTGGGGCAGCCCCCTCCTGGGGGGCGGGGGTCCCAAGGCGCTCACAGAGGCAACGGATTTTAAATGTGTTTCTCTAGGTCTCCATTTTTTTTCTTGGAAAAAAAAATTTAGCCAAAAAGGCTCATTGTATCACTGCTCTGAAAATTTTCCTAAGAAGAGATGATTATGGGCACTCGGTCACGACACCGCCCAGGGCTGCACTCTGGTCTAAGGACCGCTCCACCATCCTAAGAAACTTGGACGTCCTGTGTGCAGGGGACATTTCACTTAGCCTAACACCTTCTAGGTCCGTCCATGTTGTCACGGAATTTGTAGGATTTCATTCTCTTTATGGCCAGTTAGCATCCCATTGTGTACGTGGACCACGGCTTTTTCATCCACTCACCTACTAATGGCACTTGGGCTGCTCCCAAATCTCAGCTATTGTAAAAAATGCTGCAGTGAACTTAGGGGTACACATACTCTTTCAAATTAGTGTTTCAGTTTTCTTTGGATATATTTCCAGAAGTGGCATTAAGGCAGTTCCATTTTTAATTTTTTTGAGAAAACTCCACACTGTGTTTCACAGAGGCCGCCCCAGTCTGCATTCCCACCCACAGTGCACGAGGGTCCCCTTTCTCCGAGTCCTCGCCAGCACTTGTTGTTTGTGGATTTACTGATGATGGCCATTCTGGCAGGTGATACCTCATTGTGATTGTAATGTGCATTTCTCTGATAATTAGTGACATTGAACATTCTTTTGTATATCTATTGGCCCTCTGTCTGTCCTCTTGGAGAACTGCCTGTTCACGTTCTCTGCCCATTTCTTAATTAGATTGTTTGTTTGTTTGTTTGTTCTGGTGTGGAGTTTTATAAACTCCGGATGTTGAGCCCCTATCAGCTGTGTCATTGGGAACATGTTCTTTCATTCAGTCGGTTGTCTTTTCATTCTGTTGATGGTTTTCTTTGCTGTGCAAAACCTTTTCAGTTTAATGTAGTCTCATTTGTTTATTTTTTTGTTTGTTTCCCTTGCCCAGAGTGATATATCAGAAAAAAAATATTGCTATGACAGATGTCTGAGATTTCACTGCCTATGTTTCCTTCTAAGATTTTTATGGCTTCGAGTCTTACATTTAAGTCTGTAGTCCATTTTGAGTTTATCCATGTGTGTGGTGTAAGAAGGTGGTTTAGTTTAATTTTTTCTGCATGTATCCAATTTTCTGAACACCATTTATTGAATAGACTGTCTTTACCCCATCGTATGTTTTTGCCTCCCTGGTCAAATACTAATTGACTATAAAGGCATAGGTTTACTTCTAGGCTCTGTATTCTGTTCCAGTGATCTATATGTCTGTTTTTATGATGCCAGCACCATGCTGTTTTGATTATTATAGCCTTGTAGTATAGTTCAATATCAGGTAGCATGATTCCTCTAGCTTTGTTCTTCCTTCTCGAGATTGCTGTGGCTGCTCTGGGTCCTTTGTGGTTCCATATGAACTTTGGAATATTTGTTGTAGTCCGTATTTTGGCTGCCTCTTTGTGTTTATTTCTATGTACTAGATAGAACTGCTATGACTCCCAGGTTTCATGGCATGGCTTCATGCAGTAGGTGTCCTGTGGGACCCCGTGGTACCATCTCCTTGATCACCTGAGCTGGGCGCTCTAGGACTGTCCCTTGTGTGGGTCATGTAAGCCCTCCTGTTCTCATGGAGTCTTGAATGCTATTGGCTCATCCGTGCATGGGACCGACTCTCAGGCTGGCTGACTGTGAGAATCAGCCCCGACCATGGCGTGTGAGACGTCATGCAGGTGCCGAGCACACCAAGCGGAGTTCGCCTCAGCAAGGTGCGAACCTGCAGAGGTCTCCCTTCGGAGATGCCGCTTGTGACGTGAAGTGGGTCCTGCTCTGATGCTGCCTGAGGCTGGCTGCTGGGTGTGTGGGTCCTGGGGCCTCCCGGGAGGAGCTGTGACGCGGGCCCGTGTTGGAGGCTGTCTGCGCCTGGCCCTTGGCAACCCGTCTGCAGAGTCTCAGTGTGGCCTCTTCCGCAAACCCGTGGCTATAAGACGCCCCTTCAGCTAGTTGAGATGGTTATTCAGGATGATTGTTCTTCATCAGTTGACATCCTGAAGTTTTCTTTTGACAGTACATGGTTTCACCTCATGCACTTCGATGAACGTTGGAGTAGTTTCCAGAGGGTTCTTATATTCTTCTTGGAGAGTCACCTGTGTGTGGCCACGTGTTGCATTTTCTAGACATGCCAAACTTTTTTTAAAGATTTTAGTTATTTATTTTTAGAGAGGGGAGGGGGAGAGAGAGAGAGAGAGAGAGAGAGAAACATCACTGTGCAGTTGCTGGGGGTCATGGCCTGCAACCCAAACATGTGCCCTGACTGGGAATCGAACCTGTGACACTTTGGTTTGCAGCCTGCACTCAATCCACTGAGCTACGCCAGCCAGGCTAGACGTGCCAAACGTGAAGCATAGAAGTGGGAGCCACTGGTGTGTCAGTGACACGCCCGACTGAGTAGCGTGACCTGTGGAATTAGGGTGATGAGCCGGGGAACGCGGAGACGGGGTGCTGAGAACTCTGTCTGTGTTGCCACAGAGAGGAGCGGGGTGTAATTCCCTCTGCTACCCCTTCAGCTGACACACACAAAACCCTCAGTATTCTCTAATTGCCTGGAATTCTCCCCTTACTGCAATTTAAAAGAATTAGCTGCAACCACAAGAGCTCTCCAGCGACACCTGAACTTGGGCAGAGGCCCGCCTGGCACGCAGAGCGGCCGTGAGAGGACCTGGCATGCTTCCCCAGGTCTGGGGAGGCGGGGCCTCAGCTCACCTGTCTCACCTCTTGGGAATGTTCCCCCCTTGCTTTCAAAAGTGGGCCAGCCTCCAAGCCCTCAGGGAATGAGGGAAGTGGAGGTTGAGATTTTGAAAGGCTGAATATTGAGCAATGCCATGTCCTACAGGCATTTAAAAATAGCAAATATCCTAATTCACGGTAAACCAGGGGTCCCTGGGGTCTGGGTGCCCCCGGAGTGTGCAGGGCCCGGGGCGCAGGGATCTGCCTCCTGCCAGGACCCTGCCCCACCCCCCTCAGCCCTATCGGGGCCCCATATCTTTGGTGCCTTACTGCTGCCTGCATCTGTGGAGTGGGGAAAGAGTCTAAGCCTGGGGGATGACAGAGGCATGAGACAGTGTCTTGACGTGGCGTCGGAAGAAGAGCCACCCAGAGCCGGCCACACAGCAGCTCACCAGGCGGCCCGGGCGGCGGGTGCCAGGCGTCGCACGAGAAACACCCACGGCGAGTGGGTGTTACGGGAATTCGGAAAAGCGAAAAGCAAACGAGACTCTTAAATCGGAATACATGCGTACGGTGTTATTTTGCTCCCTAAGTGTGTTCCCTGTGAATCTCACCCCCCCCAAGGGACACGGGGTCTGGTTTCTGATCTGGGGCACCCCCAGACCTTCTACTGACAGAACTCTCTCCAAGTCCCCACCGAGGGTGAGCATGAGCGGGCAGGGGGCTTTGTCTGGCCCGCCCCCTCACGACGCCAGGGACTGTAGGCAGGCCTGGCACATGGGGGGGCAGGGGGGTCACCGCTGGCTGAATGAATGAGTAAAAGGACAACATGTACTGTGTTCTGAGACACTGCGGGTGGCTAAGCAGAGTCACACGTGTGTTCTCTCTGAGCCCTTTGAGGTGGGCTGTCCCCGTGTCTCCGTGTCATGGGAGAGGAGTCAGTGCTCGGCCGCCCCGGCCCCTCCCCGGCCCCCACCCCGGCCCCCTCCCCAGCCCCCACCCCGGCCCTGAACTGCTCGTCACCGTCGGCTGGTGCGGGTGCAGCTGCTGCTCCCCCGGCCCTGGTCCCGGGTCTCCCTGTCACTCCCACGGTGACTGTCTCGGGGGTGGGGGGAATGTCCAGGACAAAGGGGGTCTCGCTCACACGCCCCCGGGACCCGTTTCAGGTGGGCCTCTTTCGAAAATCGGGCGTGAAGTCCAGGATCCAGGCCCTGCGTCAGATGAACGAGAACTTCCCCGACAACGTCAGCTACGAGGAGCAGTCGGCGTACGACGTGGCGGACATGGTGAAGCAGTTCTTCCGCGACCTGCCCGAGCCCCTGTTCACCAACAAGCTCAGCGAGACCTTCCTCCACATCTACCAGTGTGAGTGGGAGCAGCGTGGGGCGGGGCGGGGGGGAAGCCCCGCAGGCCGCGCTTTAACTACCCGGGCACTGCACGGACTCACGAGGAGGCCTATGAAAGCGGTCATTTACGCTCCTCCCCAGAAGGAGCTCGGTTCACGGTGTGGTAGGAAAATCTCCAGGCCACGTTGTGTGCACTGGAAAACATCTTTTTGGCATCGACATTTTGCTTCTCGATAGGGACTGGCCCAACATCTAAAATCAACTTTCAACCTCCTTTTAATAAATGTAAAATGAAAAGGGCACACCATAGACTTTAGTTCGTCTCTACGTGTTTTTAAAAGCCCATTTAATTTTCTAAAATTAAGCGCGTCCTTGGGATACATGAAATTCAAAGCCAAACATGTTCAAATGACGAGAAACAAAAGGCAAATGGGTTTTAATCACAGCGTGTCTTAGGGGGCGGAAAGTAAGCAAACTGAATCGAGCTGTACACTTCATTAACTTAATTTGTACTTTCACTTGAAATTAAGTGATGTGAAATTGGTCATTTTCAGGCAAGCCTCTATAATTAAAATAATCACAAAAATAACAAATTTTTATTAAAAGGCGTATCCTCTTAAAGGTCACCGCCAAGGGGGATATTAGTCATGAACATGGACTCTTTCTAGCTATGACAATGTTGTCAACATAAATTATTTTGAAGATCCAGTCCCAATTCTTTAGGAAAATAATTATTTGGCCCATGGGCTTTGAGTTTTTGGCAACATTGGCTTGAAGTCGACCTCACCGTGGAATGGGTCCAATTTGAGGACTGTAGAGAAATCAGCACTAAAATCTTTGAGTCTACAAATGTTGCAAATGCAAGAAGAATTATAATAGGCACCACTGGCAAGACAGAGTCACGTGGCGGTCCCCTAAATAAACACTCTTTTGTGAGAGTGAGTAGGTGACATGAATGACTTCGGAGCCGCTGTCCTTCAGATGTCCCTGGGCGTGTCCTCCCGGCTGGGCAGGGTCGGGGGGACACACCCGCTGCCCCCCAGCGGGCCCCTCTGACGGTCCGGCCCCCGCCCTCCCCCAGACGTCCCCAAGGAGCAGCGGCTGCAGGCGGTGCGGGCGGCCACGCTGCTGCTGGCGGACGAGAGCCGAGACGCCCTGCAGACGCTGCTGTGCTTCCTGCACGACGTGGTCAGCCTGGTGGAGGAGAACCAGATGACGCCCATGAACCTGGCCGTGTGCCTGGCGCCCTCGCTCTTCCACCTCAACCTCCTGAAGAAGGAGAGCTCCCCCAGGTGGGTTCTTCCAGGCGCCCACCGGTGCCCCAAACGGGCGACAGCCACCCCAGCCCATGAACAAAAAACTCCTCGCACTGCATTTCGACGCAAGGATTTGTCAGCTCTTAATTTATAATCCGGAAAAGATTCTGGGCGACCTAATCTGGGCGCCCAGAATCAGGGAGTGGTCCGGGGGGCCTTGAAGAATGTCTGCCGTGGCCCAGGGAACCTGAGGAAGTTGTTCTGTTTTGCGTGTGTGAGTGGGAAGGAAAGGAAAGTGTGTGATGTAGAGTTTTACTATCTTTAAGTTTAAAAAACAAAAAGAGAGCAAGGAGGCTGGATTCCAGGCCCGAGCACCGCAGCCTTGCAGTGAAGTGGTTTCAAACTTGGGGAAAAATAGATTCATGCCCCGCCCCCAACAGTTAGTTACTCCTGCCCTTGAGTTCTTCCACGCTGTTTTGTTCCGAGCCAGTAGACCCCCGGCGGGCCTCGGGTGGGAGGTGCACTGAGGGTCATTAAGTGGCCGTGAGAGAGGCTGGGATCTGGGTCCCCCCCTTCCCCCCGCCAGGCAGGAGCCGGACACACGAGGGGAAAGCTCTCCTCGTGAAGGACCCTCTGGTTTGGGGTCTGCTCAGGGCCGCCCCCTGCACTTGCAGAGTCATCCAGAAGAAGTACGCCACCGGGAAGCCGGACCAGAAGGACCTCAACGAGAACCTGGCCGCCGCGCAGGGCCTCGCCCACATGATCGCCGAGTGCGACCGGCTTTTCGAGGTGAGTGGGGGGCCGGCCCCGACGTTTGTTCCTGGGTTTACAATGACAGCAGTGCCCGCTGGGGCTCTGGGGCTTTGCCGCCAAGAACTGGGCGGGGCTAGCTCTGTCTCTCACCGAGGCTGGGCAGGTAAAGACGCCTGGGTTTGCTGCGACGCTTGTCCTGAGACCAGCTGTGTCACCTTCGCCTGCGCAGGTCCAGGCAGGCCGGCCATTCAGGTCCTCTTGGGTTTTACCTCGGGGTTTGATTGGGTTCAGTGTCTGTGTGTGTGTGTTTCTGGTGTGTGTGGGAGAGACATGGGCCGTTCCTGTGAATGAGGGATCGGTAACAGCTCAGGGGCGCAGCCCCAGATGCGGTAAAGAAGTGAGCTAGACTTCCGGCCTGCTCTCTGTGGCAAATTTGGCGTCTGGGACCGGGAAAAGTGTGCTGAAAAGATGAAGCTAGTTCTAAGTCACGTTAGATGTTTCTCTGAGGTCAATGTGCTTTTGTCTCCTGAGCCCACGTTTTTGCCAAACTGAACAGAAACACATCAAAGGGAACATGAAAGGGGAAATGGAAAGGCTACTGCAGTGCATTGGGTGATGCGTGTAGCCTCAGAACCGTACTTGGGATGCCCGACTTTAGGAAGCCCCGCCCCCACCACCAGCCTGGCCTCTGACCTCAGGAAGACGTCTCCTGGCCCGAGGCTCCTGGCCCGAGGCACCTGGCCAGGGCCCATACACAGGGCCTTGGACGAGACGACTTGGCTTTCTTTGTCGGTCTCACCAACTCTTTAACGCAGCGTGTCGTCTGCCCCGCGCTGCAGGTCCCGCACGAGATGGTGGCCCAGTTCCGTGACGCGTACGTGGAGGCCGAGATCCATGCCCCGACGCTGGAAGACCTGGGGTCGCAGCTGGAGGACAGCGGGGCCACTCTCCACACCTACCTGGACCAGCTGCTCCAGGGCCTGCAGAAGGAGGCCAAGGAGAAGTTCAGGGGATGGGTGGCGTGTGCCAGCGCAGACAACACGGACCTGGCCTTCAAGAAGGTAATCCCGGGGCTCCCAAACACGTGCCCAGAAGAGCCACGTCTGACAGCCAGGCATTTGTTTTGCTTAAAAAACAAAACAAAACAAAGCAAAACAGGCCACTACCCACGGGGCTTGGCACGCACGTGACCAGGCCGAAGTCCGTTCCTGGAGACGGCCAAGTGGCCGGGCTGCACCTGCTCGGAGCACAGGCCGCGGAGCCAGCCTGCTGGGTCCCAGTCCAGCCCCTGTCCCCTGGCTGGCTCACATCCGGCAGGTCACATGGCTCTCTCTGCCTCGGTTTCCTCAGTGGCAGCACGGACATAATAAAAGTGCCCCAGCCAGGGGAGGGCTGTTTGAACACCCAGTGGGCCGGAAGGGCACCTGGCCAGCCGTAGAACCGCTGTGTGTGCTGACGGGTTATTATTTTATCATCATCATCATTATTACTATTTTCATCTTAAGGGTTACCGTTATAAAATGGCAAACCTATAAAATATACAGACTCATTCTTTCAAGACACGCGGTCGGGAATTTGTTTGAACACCCAGGGAAGTGTGGGGGGCTTTGGCGGGGCCCAGCTGGCCTCTTAGCGTCTGTGGGCGTCTCTACCCAGGTGGGCGACGGGAACCCCCTGAAGCTGTGGAAGGCCTCGGCGGAGGTGGAGGCCCCGCCGTCGGTGGTGCTGAACCGCGTGCTGCGGGAGCGCCACCTGTGGGACGAGGACTTCGTGCAGTGGAAGGTCGTGGAGGCCCTGGACAAGCAGACGGAGGTCTACCAGTACGTGCTCAACAGCATGGCCCCCCACCCCTCCCGGGACTTCGTGGTGCTCAGGTAAGCCGGGCCCGGCGGTGCGATGCGGTCCGCTCCTGAGCAGGTTGAGAGCTGCGGACGGAGGCCGTTCAGAGTCCTTCCACCCAGATCCGGCCCGTGCTGGGGACACCGAGCTGGCCCGAGTCCCCTCGGCATCGCCGCCCCTGCCGCGTCGATGCCCGGCTTCCTGCTCCGCCGCCCAGGCTGCAGCTCGGCCGGGCTCCCCGGTGGCCCCTTGCACGGAGGAGCACACGGTTTATTGGGCCATAAATGTGGTTCATTTCCTCAGAACAGAGTCCCCAGAGTAGCTGCTGTTTGGCCAGCTGGACTTCCTGCCAAATCATGCAAATCGAGTGACTTCTCTCTGCTCCCCCTTGCGCCCCGTGGGAGGCGAGCCCTCAGTCCGTGTCACCCTCGGGACTAGTGTGTGACCTCAGCCTTCACGGCCGTGCACGGGAGCCTGGGCACAGCGCTGCAGGCGCCCCGTGCTGCGTCCTGGGTGTCCAGCAGGGAGCCAGGGCCTGAGCGGGCTTGCAGGACTGTGTCTCCCGCTGACACAGGGCCCCGCGAGGTGGGGGGCCGAGTGCCCGCCGTCTGGCCGTGGAGGGGGGGTGTCAACCAGGGACAGGAAGTGTGCTCGGTGGAGCGGTGCGTGGGGGCCGGTGAGTCAGCACTGACTCAGAAAGAAGAGGGACTCGGGATGCTGAAACGCCCGGGGACAATGTAATGAAACCTGTATATCGTTTTTATTGGTGACCGATGGCAAACGCCGGCTCTTCCCTCGGATCCGTGGTGCGACAGGAACCCCTAGTGAATTCCCCGGTGTACGTTCGAACCAGTTTCTTTATGAGAACTAGTCCTGACGGCGAACTCAAGGTTACTTTTCACGTGGGATGTTTACACCCGTGCACCTGGTCCTCGGGACCTTTGATTTTAAGGGTCACCAATCCCTAAATGTGTGTGTTTATCGTAGCAGCTGGTGGAGAATGTGGGCAGTTCTGCGGGCAGCTCAGGGCCACCGTTATAGGGACATTAGTCATCTGGGGAAAGTTAAGCTTCACACCCTCACTCTCGCAAGCAGCAAGCGAATTGCTCTTCTAGGGTGTGGATGGGGCCGGCCATAGTGCCCCCCCCACCACCCCCAGACGTGGCTGAGGGCCGGAGGCCAGCGTGGGGCCTCCTCCTCTCCCTCCGTCCACCGACTGCTCTTCCTTAGCACGCCCTTCCCTCACCGCGGTGCCCGGCACTGCCAGGGGCTCCAGCGGGACAGTGAACCCCAGTCTTGCTCTCTCGGGGTCTCCATTTTACTAGGGAGAGCGAGTCTGCCTGTAATAAGTCCAGGAGCTAGGGTTACTTAGGCTAGGGGGACGAGTAAGAGAAGGGGAGAGCAAGGGGTGGGGGGTTATTTTTTTAATACATTTTATTGATCATGCTATTACAGGTGCCCCATTCTCCACCCCCGCTTATTCCCCTCCACCCTGCACAACCCCTCCCACTCACATCCACCCCGCCGCCCCAGTTCATGTCCATGGGTCCTACATAGAAGTTCTTCGGCTTCTGTATCTCCTATACTACTCCTAACCTCCCCCTGTCTGTGTCGTGCCCCCCACTCATGCGGGGCTGGGGTTTTAAACGGAACAGTCAGGGTGGGGCTCTGAATGGGACGAGCGAGTCCCGACTCCAAGGCTGTGTGGTCTCGGCAGCCGCCTCTGGTCCCCGGACAGATCTGAGCGCTGGAGCCCGGCTCTGCCCCGCACCGGGTGGGCGGTGGCGCCCCCACTTGCAGAGACCACGTGCCTAGTCCGAGTACCGGCCGGAGTGGGGGCAGGAAACGCGCGTCGCCCCAGCACTGCGTTCACGTCTTCCTCTCCTCGCCGCCGCCCCGCGGCCGGGGGTCTCCCCGCAGGACCTGGAGGACCGACCTGCCCAAGGGGATGTGCGCCCTGGTGTCCGTGTCGGTGGAGCACGAAGAGGCCCAGCTCCTGGGCGGCGTGCGAGCCGTGGTGATGGACTCGCAGTACTTGATAGAGCCGTGCGGCTCCGGCAAGTCCAGGCTGACCCACGTCTGCAGGGCGGACCTGAAGTAAGTGGGGTCCCCCCGCCGGGGCCGGGGGAGGGGGGCGGGGCACGCACGCTGCCACCGCAGGCCGAGGCCCTGTCTGCCGTCCTGGCTTCCGGTTCCACCGCGCTTGCCCCTCGCAGCCGTGGACGGGCTCGTGTAGATGTTGTGTATGCCGCCCCCGCCCCCGCCCCCCGCCCCCTCTCCTCCAGCTTTCCCGGGATGCGGACCTTTCCCTGGAGCCCTTGGCTCTGCCCTGCTTTGCCCCCACTTTCCTGCCTGCGCTTCTCGCACGGAGCCAACGCAGCAGACACGGGAGCCCGAGCACGGGTCCCCTCCCTGGGGTTCCGTTACCCCGGCCCCCGGCGGCTCGCGCAGCCGCCTTCCTCCGTGGGGAAGACACCAGCTCCCGTGCAGCCTCTTCGCAGCGCTCGTGGTGCCGAGCCACGTTCTCCGTCCCGCGAGCCGCGTGCTGGGTTTTCTCGGTCGGTTCCACATTCCGTCTGAATCCCCCCAGAGGAGGGGGTGGGTTAGAGCAGCCGGTGAGCCCCGAGAAGCTGGACTGGCACTTGGGGTCTCCGAGCCCCGAGGGCCAGCCCCGGGGCTGTGCGCCGGTGTCCGGGCGGACAGGGGGGGCACCAGGGCATCCTCCCCGTGCGTCGTGGTGACCGACCGCTGTGCTGTGCGCGCGGAGACAGGCCTTCCCATTGGCCCCTGGTTTCTGTCCCCACAGAGGCCACTCCCCAGAATGGTACAATAAAGGCTTCGGGCACCTGTGCGCGGCGGAAGTGGCCAGGATCAGGAACTCTTTCCAGCCCCTCCTCGCGGAGGGCCCAGAAACGAAGATCTGAGTCCGCCCCGGGGGACCTGGAACTCAGGGAAGAGGAAGCGACAGCGACCCCTTGCGGGAGAGAGAAGGGTGCACGCCGACCCACTGGAGACGCCGCCGCGGAGCGGTCGGAGTGCGCACGCTGCGGGAGCCCGTGAGCGCCCGCCTGCCCAGCCTTCCTGGAGACGGCTATGTCATTACTAATATAATATTTTTTAAAATTAAAGCATTTATCTATGTTACTTAAAATTAAATGGATTTTCTCCCTGTGCATTGCCTAATTTGCTATTTATAGGCTTCTAAGAAGCATATTCTTAACTGTAAATAAATGTATGTATAGCCTATGTACAGGTGTGTATATCTCTCGTCTGCTGTATATATGTAAAATATCGATTTTATATATAGTTGCATATTTTGAAACGCATCTGACTTGGTGAGTCCCTTCCTTACCTGGTTCTTTCCAAGGGGCTCTGGGCCCACCCCCCTCGCCCCCATCCTGTAAACTGTGCAGGAGCTGCTGCTAACACCGAGGTGTGACCCTGCGGCTGTCAGCTGTCGGCTGTCATCTGCCCTGACGTTCAACCAAAGATGAGCTAACCAAAGGAAAACAACAGGAAAAGGTTCTCCTGTGTCCACAGGTTGTTTCTGTTATTCAAAAGCTGAGCAGGAAGTGGTGGATAAAGCGAGGGAAAGAATAGTTACTTCTTTGAAGGCAAAGTAGTGGGGGGTGGGGAGTCCCCACCAAGCTAAAGCTGGATTCCCAGGTGCTCCTGGCCCCCGCCAGGTGCAGGTTCGGTCAAGTGCCAGGAAGCCCCCGGGTCAGCGACCCAGAGCCCCGCCCCCGCCCCGCCCCGCCCCTTAGAGCAGACCGGAAACACCTGGGCCCAGTCTCAGCCAAAGGGAGGCTCTGTGCTGTGTCACGTTTCCACAGATACATTTCGTGATGTTCTTCAATGTCCTTCTGTTTGACCAGTGGCCTGTTTGGTCGCAGTTCATCAGCATTTTCTTACCCGTGTATTGCACTGAGTTTAACTCTGGACACCAGCCAAAGAGGGCTGACGGTGGTTTAAGAGACCTGAGCCGTTCCGGCTGCAGAGGACTCTTACTTTGTTATGTGTGATGCCCTAAAGGTAGAATTCGTTCGCGTTTTGTCACCTGAAAGACAGGGTTCGAAACTCACATAAGACCCAAACTATGCTCGTGCATTCATTTTAGAAAACGTAGGCAGGTTTGCTCAATGCACGTTCCTTCATTAGCCAGCCAGGCCACCTAGGCAGCGGCCCAACCTTATTTATTAAGCTATAGACTAAGCAAATCGAGGCTCCTTAACCGATTGCTAATGGATTTAAATTGCTCTTTATTGTCATTCAACAGTTATAGAGACCCAGGTAATTTATTGTGTTTGGTTTCAGGGAGATAGATTTCTAAATAGAGATTGGTATCATAACTCAGCAGCTGGGGTCAGAGGGGAAAGAAACTCAAATGTCTTCCCTTTTTTTATATTGTATGCCTTTCTGTAATGTTTTATCAGTATTGTGCAATCATTTTACTGAGAGGAATAAAAGTGTTATATATGAGCTCTGTATGGTGCAAGGACAATCAGACTGTTTGAATGGTGACCTAAGAACGCTTCATTTCCCTGCCCACCCGAGAAGGCGGCGGCCAAGCCGTAATCTTCCCTTCGGGCAGTGCTCCGTGAGCAAGACGCAGTCACCTCTGCCGTCCATCTGCAATCTAGCCATGCGGGCTGGGCGACTTGAACGGGCACAGACAAGGCCCGTGGTGAAGGTGAACCTGGCTTACCACGGGCCCGACTCCAGAGATGGGGCCCTTCCTGGTTGGGAGCCGTGCTGGGCACCCAGGGACAAGGGATACCGAGTCTCCAAATTTAGCGTGCACGCAGCTCGCCTGGGGATGTCCTTCCAAGACAGACTCTGACCCAGACAGTGCGGGGCGGGCCCAAGGGTCTGCATTTCTAACAGGCCCCAGGACCTGCGAGAAGCAGGGACCTAGAGTGTCCTTAACACAGAATAAACACAGATCTGATTCTCTTTCTGGCTCCCCTTCTCTTCAAACTGCCTGACTTTTCAAAATTTTTACTCACGTGTTAATGACCCCACTTCCGCCCGGCAGCCCCGGGCCTTGGAAAAGAAAAGGAAAAGGAGGGGAAGCCGCGTCGAGCTGCTGGCCAGATAGCACAGTATTTTTTCAGTCATCGCTCCTTCGCCAATGGAAATAAAATATGATCTTGCATTTAACTATTCCATTTATACCTCATGTGTATTTTTACCTCAAGTGTCGGTATCAATCATCAATTGTAAATAAAGAATTGCCGAGGCAAGGAAATTTATATACATTAAACATTTCCTATTTTCTATACAATACACCTCGCTTTTCATGCTTCGTCCTGTTAAGTAGACAACCCGCTGCATGAGGAAGTTTTCTGTCCGAGACTGCTGTCTAGGAGCGTGACCCCCGGTCCTGTACTTGACCTCTGTCTGTCCCAACTTCAAGTGCGTCGTTAGCAACAGGCACCCGCTCGCAGTCTGGCTTCCTGAACCTACGTCTAAGGCGTTCGGGTCACGGGGAGGGATTTGTTTTGCTTTTGATCGTGCTTAGGTCTGGTCACACAGACACGCGTGCGGTGGTAGTTTCACCGCAGAGTTGGTGGACTGTGGCTGCGTCTCACTGTCATTCAGTGGACGTGAAACTGGGGCTTGACGGAGTGACGCGTGGCTGCAGCACTTGAGCGGGAGGAGGAGCCAGTGTGGACTCCGAGCCTCTTGCCTCCCGTGGCACATGTCCTGGGCACCAGGGCGGCCCCTCACTGAGCAAGGAGGAGCTCCTACGTCTCAGCCGCCGGCTGCAAAAGGGACATCAGACACATGGGTCGTCTGCCCCACGCGGGCAGACACCATCCGTACCCCTCCCTCTGCTCACCCCCCACCCCACCCCTTCTCCCACCTCCTGCAAGTTCCGCTCTCCTAGGCAAAGGGAAAACGTCAGCTTTGCCACTTCCGTGTGAGAGAAGTCGCGTGGACGGTCGTTCTAGTGGTCACGGGCTTCACACGTGGTCCCAGGACCCTCAACCCTGCAAGTTCGAACTTGACTGTGAGTGTACGCCATGAAATTCTCAGCATGGAACTGTTCTACGTCCTTTGATATTTGGCCACAGACAAAACGGACATAGGACGGTTTCTCGGGGGCGTAACATGAAGGGATAAGTTAGACGGCAGCCAAGAGGCCAACACGCTGACACAAAAGCCAAACACATGTGCAAGGCCATGGGTGAGACCCCCAGAGACAAACTCCAGATCACCGGGACAGGCCCACTCCCCCGCACCAAGGCCCAGGGCTTGTTGCAGGAAGCGGGCTGGCCTTGGGGGTGAGAGAGCTCTGACCCTGGACCCCACACTCCCCCCACCCCGGGGGAGAGGTCTCTAATTTGCACAGGCACAGCTGCCACTTCGCCTCCTGCCTCTGCTGGCTGGCGGGCCCAGGACCTGGAACCGTGGCTAAGCTGAGGGTGGTTAGCGCCATGAAGGGCAGAGGGATGGCAGTGGGTCCCCCAGTTGGAAGGCTGGTGGAACAGTCCAGGTGGAAAGTTTTGGGGAAAGAAGTGGAGAGGTTTTTAAAGACACTTCTGAGCTAGAATTATTAAAATGTGTATTAGCGGATAGTGAGAGTGGAGAAACGGAATTAGCTTATGATGACTCTGAGTTTTCTAGCGTGGAAAAAAAAAATGTGTGTGTGGTGAGTCCTGTAACTGATGGAGGGAAAAAGAAGGAGGGGAAGCAGGCTACAGGGGGCAGCAGGGCAGGCAGGGAACCAGGGTGAGCAGGGCGACGATCGCTTGAACTCGATCGTGTGCCAGCTGAGAACCAGCAGCTGGCGATGCCTGGCAGCCACTGGGACACCCAGGGCTGAAACTCCAGAGAGCGACCAGTGACCACAGCTAGAAGTGTGTTAGTCCGCTTCTGGGTGGTTCCTGCCTCTTCTGACCTTACGCTTGATGTTCCAGTGACACCAAACCCCTGTCACAGCTCTATGGCTTTGCACTGACCGAGTCGCCAGCTTCTTGGTCACGTGATGGCCTATTTCTTCCTCCCTATGGGGCACTATTTCCTCTGTGGGCTTTCCTGACCACACCTCTCAAATACACCTGCTTCTTTACATATTTCTCTCACTGCATGAATCAGCTTCCGCTCTGGGAGTGCAGGGGGCCGAGGCAGGGAGGGGTGGAACAGGAGGCCCTGAGCCGCTGCAGCTGTGACCCGGCAGCATCCTGATTTCCGAGCCGTGACACCTGGCGATGATTGCCGTTGCGGTTCCCCCTCCCCCGCCCCCACCGAGCGGGCAATCAGGGAAGATTGCGGGAAATTGCATGTGTAGAAGCTCCAGTGAAAACCCTATGAAGCCTGGAACCAGTCATCAGAAGGGAGCCATTCCCTGGTCAGAGACAGCCCGCTCCCGTCTCGTGGGGTGACGGAGCTGAGAGACCAAGGTGGAAGCTACTCTCCCTCTGGTTCCTGGGAGAAATGAGGGTTTTGAGAGTAGGGATGATTTTGACTCTCAGATTTGTAGGATATGTGTTCCCTTTGGAATGAAATATTTGAGTGTAGCTTTGGTTGTGCCTGCCTTTCTGCAGATAGTTCTTAATTGGCAAAATGCAATCCCTGACACTTTCTATGTGATGAGAGTCCCTGTTCCTTTTTTTTTTTTCTCTTCCCTCCTGATGACTAGGCCAAGGGCTGGGAGCAGAGAAAGAATTGACTTGGAACTTTTGAGATGCTCCTTGACCTACTACAAGGATGTGCTTTCTCCTCTCCAACTGGATTGCGTTTTTTCTCTTTTTGCCTGACCCCTCAGCTGCAGGAAGGGACAGGGCCAGCTCAGGATTCTTTGGTCTCCCTCCTTCAGTGGGCCCCTGTCGCCCTGGATGGTTGGATGGTCAGCATTGTCTCGGGTGGGTGTTCCCAGCTTTAGGGGTCCTCCTGTTTCTCAGAGGATTTGTCCATTAGGACGCTTGTCTCTGTTTGTGTGGTCCGTTCAGTTCCCTGCGCACTCGTCTCCATCGGCAACAAAAGCTCCTGATGACTCCAAGGCCACTCACTCCCAGGCCCAAGTCGCCAGTGGTCATAACTGACACGCACCGGCTCTGAGGGGGAGGGGAATTCACCCTGGCAGGAGATCCACCTGCGTCTGCGCCCTGAGGGTGTGGCTCGACCCAGTGGCCCAGGAGATGACCACACAAAGGACATGCACCCATTCCTTCCCTAAATCTGCTCTACACCACGTGGTTTCCTAGGAGCAACGCTGAAAGGCCAGCCAGCCGGCCGCCAGCCCCTCAGGGGAGTTTCCTCTCTGGCCCTTCCCGCCGCCTTGCGGCCTCAAGGCTAGGCAGGTCTCTAGCTAGCACCGCCCTGCAGTAGACCAGTTTCCGTCTCCATGGAGATCAGCCACCCCACCTGCAGAAAAGCCGATTGATTGCATTTTCATATGAATGCGTTTCAGCCCAGCTAAAGCACTGTGGATTTGCATAAGTGAGCCTTTTATCTCTTTCTTTAGAGTCCAGCTTTGTCTCAGCTGAGGAGCATCTCTGGCCTCAGCAGGTAGGTGGGGAGCAATTTTTGGACTAAGGAAGAGCCTGAAATCACACCGCCACCCAGCGAAGCCTGACCCTGAAGGAAGGTTGCCCACTCTTGTGCTAGCGTGACGGGGCGGCAGGGGGCTGCCCCCCCGCCCGGCCCCGCTCCTCTGGACAGCTCCTGTCCTGGCCGGTCCGGAACGGGGGCTCTTCTGGGCAGCCTCCCCCCACCTGACCCTCTCACCACCCCTTACCGCCCCTGCAAAGCAGTCCAAACCTCATCCTGTCATCTCTGAGAATCTCCAGTGCACTTGGTTGCCCATCAAGCACCTTCCGAAGATCTCCCCAAGACGGTTTTGTCAAGAAAGTTTGCCTGAGCAGCACACAAGGAACCACCCCCATGTAGAAGTGGTAGCGGAGGGGAAGGGGCCCATGGGAATCCTACCTTTCCCAGGGCTGCTGGGACAGCAGGAGGCCAGATTCCCATGCGCCCCACGTGGACAAGCGTTGACGTCCAGTGAGGAGGCTCCAAACCGGGGAGCACTGGGGGAACAAATAAGACAGCAGACCTGGGGGGAACTGTTGGGATTCCTCATGGTCCTTCTGTGTCTGCTGCTCCTTTGTCTACAGTGGAAAATACTTTTTGAAAATGCATAACTGCCGATCCTTTTTGAGCCACAGATGAAGTGTACGGCCTTCCACAAGGACGAACAGTCCAAATATTTTGGAGCCATAAAGCTGTCCAGTCCTCTAAAATTAAACACGGTCTCTAAGGAGCAGCCTGGCGGGGGGTGGGGGGGGGCCGGGGCGGGGGGCGGGGCCGGGGTGGGGAGGCTGGGCCGGCTGTCTCTGGGACCTGTGGCCCTCTGGGGCCGTGCAGAAAGAACACGAGCCCCAGACCTGTTTGGCTCCTAGAACCTCATGAAACACAGCAGTCGGCCCAGAAGAAACCAGGGGCAAAGGAGAGCAAACTCATTCATGTTCTGCCCGTTTGCAGGGGTTCCGGTGTGAACCCCACGGCATGTGCACAAAGCGTGACGCCCATCGGCTGCCCCTGCGGGAGCAAGAGGCCAGCGGTGCAGCGTTTGCAGCCAAGTGCACGTTCTGGGGCTGCACGGCTGACTCTGCAGGAGGCTGCGGGGCTGCCCTGGCCTCCCCGGACATCCCGGCACCAGCGTCTCACGGAGCCCCGCTCCCCTGGGTCCCCAGAGACGGAGAGACAGGTCAGGGTTCAGAGTGCAGTGAAGCGGGAGTCTCTGGTGTAAACAGAGGGATTGTAAACAATTGTACACACGGCAACAGCCCCACATCCCTTCACAGGACTGAATAATGAGAGGGGGACAGCCTTTGTCTAGGAAGACAGAAGATCGCTTTGTCACTGTCCAAGGGTGTGGGGATGTGACACAGTTGGCAATGTCCGCACCCTCCAGCGTCAGGATGAGAGGCTGGAGGTCAGCTTGCTCCGGGCGACGTTGCCGATCCAGGCAATCAAGAAGGGCCTCTCCCAGCGGCTGTCATTCCCCAGGACCTGCTGAGGCCACGGCCCCATCCAGGCCAGAAAGAGAGACCGGGGCTGGAGGGTCCTGCTGGACAAAAAGAAACTCGCACCAAGAAGCAAGCAGGCAAAACCGTTTGCCAGGAGATTCCCCGAGTGACATTTTGAAGCCAAATCAGGAGGGACCACAGAGAACCGGAACTTCAGACCCAGAGGTGTCAACGCCGGGGGAAGCTTCCGGTGCCCCGTGTGGCCTTCCCGCATCAGACCATCGCGGACCACTCCCCTAATAAACTCCTTAA